GTCCCCTTTGCCTTTGCCTTCCTTTTGTTTTTTCTTAATTTTTTAAAATGTTTTATTTATTTTTGAGACAGAGAGAGACAGAGCACGTGCAGGGGAGGGGTGGAGAGAGAGTGAGACACAGAATCTGAAGCAGGCTCCAGGCTCTGAGCTGTCAGCACAGAGCCTGTTGCTGGGCTCAAACTCAGACTGCAAGATCATGACCTGAGCTGAAGTCAGCCACTCAACCGACTGAGCCACCCAGGCACCCGTGCCTTAGCCTTCCTAAGTGATATCTGGAGCTTGGCAGCCATCTTGTGACCATGGGGAAAGATTCGGTAGACACACAGAGGATAAAGTAGAAAGATGGGAAGAGGCTGGGTCTCTGATGACATCACTAAGTCACCAAACCAACTAGATAGAGGTGGCCTCCAGATTTCTTTCTTTTTTTTTTAATTTTTTTTTTCAACGTTTATTTATTTTGGGGACAGAGAGAGACAGAGCATGAACGGGGGAGGGGCAGAGAGAGAGGGAGACACAGAATCGGAAACAGGCTCCAGGCTCTGAGCCATCAGCCCAGAGCCTGACGCGGGGCTCGAACTCACGGACCGTGAGATCGTGACCTGGCTGAAGTCGGACGTTTAACCGACTGCACCACCCAGGCGCCCCCAGATTTCTTAATAAATGAGACCATAAATGTTGATACTTTTTAAACCTTAGTTAGTGGATATTCTCAGCAAAAGACTTATACAGGAGGTACAGGGCAGTCACTAATGGGGTCACTGGGAGCAGCCAACACCCTGTTCAGGGGTCTTCAAAACTCCTGCCTTTGTACTCCTTGAAATAAGTTTTTGAAAAAAATTATACTGCACACATTTTTAAGTTAAATGTTATATCATAAGTTTAAATAAATTCATTTTTGCAATAGGAGGTAGAAATGGTAGAAATGATAAACATTTGATATAAGTAAATAAGATGAAGATTAACCATAACTGAAATAAATATTTCATGACATAACTGAACAAAACAGACTTTGGCTGCTTTCCTGAATAATATACACTGAATTAGGTTAGAAATTAGGTAAAAGTTTTTTATATATGGGTTTTTTCCAGTGTATCATGATCTAGGAAAACATTCTAGTTATATTGCTAAAAAAAGTATTTCCTCCCTGACTTGTACTGCTTTTGGTGTTCTAAATTCAGAGCTCCACACAAAAACAAAACCCAAAGGAAGAGAGGAAGCCCTATAGGTTTAAGATGCCTTAATTAATCACTAAATGCGGCTTACCCTAAACTAAGCCAGAGTTTGAAGACTACTGCTTTAACTAGCCTCCACTGCCCCCTGCCCCTAGACTCCCAGGTAGGTCTGCAAACCCAGGCCAGGGTGGACTGGGGGTCCCACAGGGCAGGGTCTGTGGCCTCTCCTCTTGTCTGCTCCCTTCCTATGTCCTTTCTTCATGCTTGCGTGCCCAGGGGTATGGGCCCACAGATGGAGGCCAGCAAAGACCAGGTGGCAAGTGTCCAGTTCAGGAGCCAGCTTGCCTCCTGGGGAGGAAATGGCAGTTTGCACTGAGCTGGGGAGATAGGGGATACAGATGCAGCCCCACACAGGAGGGGCTGCTGGCAGCGGGCAGGAGGGAGTCCCTGACCTGGTTCATTCTGGTCTCCCTCATTCTGGGAGATGTACTACTATCTGCCCAGTGCTCTGCTACTCCATTTCTGTACCCTGTCTGTACTCTAATTTCATCCTCCATGGCCCTGTGAAGCAGGCAAGGCAGGGATTATTATGATCATTTCACAGGTAGAGAAAGTGAGGCTCAGAAAGGCTGAGTGACTGCTCTGAAGTCCTGTAGCTGATATGCAGCAGAAGCACCAGCCGATGACCCAGGTCTACCTCCTCCACAGGCAGGGTGTTTTCCTCTCTGCCACTACACTGATTATAACCCAGTGAGAATTTCTGGCCTGGGGGCTCACAAAGCATCCTTCCCCTTTTGAACATTTGCGCTGCTTTGGAAGGGGTATCTGGATGGGGGGTGGGAGGTGGACTTGTCACCTGCTAGTTATGTGGCAGCAAGCATTCCGGTCTTCTTGCTCATCTGGGGGACTCTGACAACCGGGAGGAGCCCCAAGGCAAGCAGTTGTCCCAGAGACTTCTGCTGGAGCCAGCACGCAGGGACACTGGGGGTGGGACAGTGAGGTAGTGTGTATGGGCTGGGGGATCCCATCCCCCTGCTGCTGGCTGGCAGGAGTGGAATCTGGGCACAGTCTGATTCCAGCTCAGAGTGGATGGACTTCTGATATTTTAGCCACATGCCCTCCACCCTCCACCACCCCCTCACCCAGGCAGTCGCTCAGCCTTCCTCCATGAGATGGCTGCTTCATCTCCTCCTTCTGCACCCCCGCTGCTGACACACCATTTCTGGCACTGTCATCTCTCACCTAGACTACTGTAATCACCTCCTAGGTGCTGTTTCTACCTCCAGCCTCTCCCTGCCTCCAGGCTGCCCTGGACACCTCCCAGGGTCCTCACCCCAAAATGCTGTGCTGACCATGTGTCTCTTCTGTTCCAAACTGCTGACAAAACCCAACCCAGACACGGCCTAGCATTCCAAGCCCTCCTGGAGAGGCCCCCACCCTGATTTCCAAGCCCCAGCATCCATCACCCCCCTGCTTGTGTTTCATGCTCCAGCCCCCAAGCACTACTCTCACCCCAACCTGCTTTCCTTCCAGTGCCTTTATTCCCCCTCCCTCCTGACTCACTGGCCCTCCCTCTCTGGAACTCCTCTGCTGTCAGACCTTGTCATACCTCCAGACTCAGCTCAGGAGCCCCTCAGTCATGAAGCTTGCCCAGTCCTGCCTTCCTCTCTCCTCCCAGAGTTCTTACTTGTACCATTATTTCATTTCTTCTCTTAAGGAGTCAATAAATATCTATGCGGCTTTGTCACATGCCTTGTGCTGTGACTATAAAGATGGATAAAACCCAACTCTGAAGACTTTCTCACTCAGGGGGAGACAGTTTTGCAAATAGACAGAAACTTAAAATATGGTATGATCTGTGCTGTGACAGGGCTAAGGAGTGTTCTGTGAGGCCCAGAGGAAAGGTGGGTGAGGGGAGGCCTTGGGAATGAGGTTAGAGACGGTGGGGGGTGCTGACTGCGAGGACCCCAGATACTAGGCTGAGCACCTGGAAACAACTGGGAACCAAGGGAAGGTCTTAAGCAAGAGTGATTTTTATTCTTCCCAAGAAGGGAACTCTAGCAGCTTGAGGAAGAGGCAGGGCATCTTCCACAGGCGTTGGGGCATTCTAATAGGCTCTAGGTTTATTTCCCCAGGTCTTGGCATGCAGATCCACGTTCCCTCTACCCTGCGGCCAGGGCCTGGGTCTCACTTGTGTCCAGCATCTGGCACAGAGAGCCAACAGGACATGTTGGATAAATGGTTGCTGGATTTATTAGCAAATGCTACTGTCTCATGGAATACAGGTGAGCTGGGGTCTCCTCTGGCCTTCTGGGAAGCACCTCAGGACAGATCCACTCTCCTGAGTACTCACCCATCAGACAGGATGCCCTCTGCGATTTCACACACCAGGACGAAGAGCAGCATGAAGGTCAGGATCCAGCGCAGATTGTGCCCAGGGAAGTGGAGCCATGTGCTGTGGTGGATGTGTACCTTGGAGCTTTGACTGCCCCATCCTGCAAGGAGAGCCATGGAGAGGTGGGAAGCCTGGCTCACCAGGAAGAGGGTGCATGAACCCCAGGTGAGTGCTTGGGTATTGAGCCCACAGTGGGGAGTGTAACCATCTGTACACCTGTGCATGAGAATGCCCGAGTCTGGTACCTGTGACCTAAGTGTCCAAGCGTGAAGCCTGGACCCATGCAGGCCCTCCTATGCAGGTACTCATTTTATATACTAACCTCTTGTATGACAAATTATCATGTAAATAAGCCATTTGAGAACATATGCTTCTTCCTTATTTCTAATTGTCAGTAACTAGCAACTCTGCCTCTGCCACATCCTTCCTTTCTTAATTTTGTGACAATCTTTCCTTTCTTCCCAAAAGCTGTATATGAATTTTAAAATTTGCCCTTTAAAAACATTAGAGTGTAAACGTTGAAAAAAAAAATTTAAAAAAAAAATTAAAAAAAAAAAAA